ATCCGTAAATTATGAGTTGAGTTCATTTTGGTCCATAATCTATAAAATTAAAAAAAAATAAACCCATATTGTGGGGAGTTGAGTTTAGTTAAAGATTAGAACTTATATTAACACACTTAATAATTTTCGATAGGCACGGAGATTTCGATATTTGTGAACGGTTGCGATGGATGACTAAACTCCTGTGTTTTTGTAAAATTATGTAGTCAACGCTTTTAGGTTGCCCGATAACCAGACTAAACCTTAAAAGTTGAGGTTTTCGTAAATGAATTTCTAGAGTCGCCACCAATATTTTTACCATAAAAATTGGAAAAGAAAAATAAAATAAGACTTTGGTTTAAGAAAAACCAAAATTGGTCATTATAAGCAGAGTTTGGTAAGAAAGTTAGTTACGTGTGGAGAAGGTATTAACACCCTCACAACGCCTCTTTCGGGTTCCCTATGATGAAATAATCTTAAAATAAAGACAATAAAATTATGCTTCTACCTTATTTATTTATTGCAGTATTTAAATAACTACTTACATGACCCTAATAACTAATGCATACAAGGAAATCAATTAAAGAAAGCAGTAAAAGAGAAGAGATATGAAGAAAAACTTCCAAAGCGAACTTTTATAAATCTTGAACTAAATGACTTTTTTGGCAGTCCTGCACTCTACAAAAACACTCTTCCCTCGAACAAAAATATTAACTAAACTCCTCGAGTGTCAAAAGGATCACTAGGCATGACAACGGGGTGGGGCGGGGGCGGGTTTTGCCTCCTCCGTCCCCGCCTCGACTTTTTAACCATCCCAGTCCCGCCCCGATCCCGCAGGGTTAGGAATTAAGTCCCCATCCCCGTCCCAGCTGGGTTTCGGGTTCCCGCCCGCCAGTCCCGATTTATATTATTTTTAAAAAGATAATTATATTTATAATAAATTAAATTTAATATGTATTTTTATATATAAATAAATATTTATAATTTATAGTTATTATTAATTAAATATACATTTTAATTTATTATATTTATATTTAAATATATATGTAAAAGAAATATTTAATTATTTTATATATATATATATATATATATCTAATATTTATAATATTATTATTATTATTATTATTATAACATTTGTATTCAAATATTTGAATATTTATGACATTATTATTATAATACTTGTATTCAAATATTTAATTATACATATAAGTTAATTCATTTTTAAGTTGTCAATATATAATTTATAAGAAAATATTTAATAAGTTAATTCTTATTTAATTAGTTTGAAGTAATAAAAGTTTAAATTATTAATTTCTTTTAATCCTTTAAAATGCAATTATTTTATTAAGATAAAATTTGATATATGATAAATAAACATAATAAGATAAAAAAATATGACATAATAAATATAAATTATAAATAAACTAATATTAGTTACTACTAAGATTGATGTAAAATATTTAGAAAAAGATAAAGAAAAAAGATTAACTTTGTGTTCATCAAATTGGTTGAAAAGATTGAAAAAAAAAACAAATTGATGGGAGAGACTAAAAAAATGTGAAAAATTGAAAAATAAGGGAGAGAATAATATAATAAATTAATTGATATAAAATATTGAAAAAGATAAAAAAAAATTAAAAAGTAGGTAGAAGAAAAATAAAAATTAGTGAAATATAAAAAAATAACCTTATATGTAATAGAAAAAGAAAATGAAATACTTTTAAAATATTAATATTTTAAAATTTAAATTTAAATATAAAGTCGGGGCGGGGACGGGGACGGGGACGGGGACGGGGCGGGGTGGGGATTGCATTACCCATCCCCGCCCCCGCCCCCGACTTTTTAAAGCGGGGAAAACTCGAACCCGACCCCGCCCCCGTCAACTCGGGTTTTCCCCGTCAAACTCAGGGTGGGGACGGGGCGGTCCCCACGGATACGGGTTTAATTGTCATCCCTAAGGATCACTCGTACTCTGGAATAATGCTCAGAGTTGCTTAGAAGTCCCAAAAAATAGGTCTTTAGAGCATATGAGAGTTTGAAAGTGTGTGAAAATGAGCTGGAATGAGCCCCTATTTATAGCAAATCGCGTCAGGCAGGTTAGGACGACCGTCTGGGCTCCTGACAGGTGGAACGACCGTTTGGGAATTTGGGACGGTTGTTCCGGGCTCAAAAATAGGTGAGACGACCGTCTGGGAAAGTGGGACGGTCGTACCAAGGTCAAATGAAGGTGGGACGACCGTATGAGAAAGTGGGACGGTTGTCCCAACCTAACTAATAAGTGGGACGACCGTCTAGAGATGTGGGATGGTCGTCCCGAGCTCTCTGACAGGATTTTCCTACTTTTTCTTATTTTTTGCGTCAAGAAAGCTTTGTTATCTCACATGAAACCTAATGAACATTACTAGAGGCTCAATAAAGCCTTGTCCATCTTTGGACGAAAGATTTCTAAGATCTACTAATTATTCGGATAAGATTTAAAGTCTACAATAATAATATTTTTATCAAAAATAATATTAATTGAATACACTCGTGTATATATATATATATATATATATATATATATATATATATATATATATATATATATATATATTGAACTCATAACATTGAAATATATATTAGTAATGTATTTTTTAAATTAAAATTTTTCTTGTTGGTTAAATTTTGATGAAATATTTCAGTTTTCAACTTATCTTAAATTAAATGTACTTTCAAAAATTTGTATTAAAAATGTTTATTAACATTTATTATTACATAAATGTCTTAATATATAGAAAATGTGTGAATGGTTATATATATTTTTTTAATACATTTCATTTTTATAAGAATATCACGAGCCATATTTCATTTTTTTTAAGTTTGTTTCTTATGCACAATTTGATATATCTCTAATATGATAAGACAACCATCATAAGATAAAGAAACACACATAACTTTTGAGGAAATCTTACTCCATTCCATCATCATTCTTCTCACCAAGTATGTACAAAAAAAATAAACAATAGGAAAAAGAAAATCCTTATACAATTTAAAAAAAAATCATATAAAATGCTAAAATACTTCACTAGAGAAGAAAAAAAAACATGAAAAAAAATAAACGAAAAAAAAAATAACAACCCGGGAGAGAAGAAAAAAAAAAAGAAGAAGACAAAAGTACACTGTACATGATAAGGTACGAAAAAAAATAACTAATTAAAATCTCTAGCATTATTTATTATAATTAAGATGGAAAGCTTTTTCAAGTTAAATGTTTTAATTAATGTTTTTAAAATTGGATTGAATGATTAAGGGGTGAAAATATTACTTCATATTTTAAAAGTTTAATGAGATTTAATAAAATAATATTTTTATAATATAATAAATATATAATAAATTTATTTGTAAAAATTTTAAAAAATAAATAATAAAAATTGTTATCATGATTATTAAAAACTATAATAAAAAATATAAATATATTAAAAAATAAAAATATAATAATTAAAATAAGATAAAAATATAATAAAATAATAATTATTTAATATTAACATGATTAATATGAGATAAATAAATAAAAAAACTAAAAAAATATTATATCTTCTATAAAAAAATTATTTATAAAAAAATATTATTTTTAATTAAAATCTATTTAATTAAAAAAATTAATCAATTATTTTGATTTTATATTAGTGTAACTAAAATTTGATTATTAAAAAAAGAAAGAAGCGATTTTTAAACCAAATTTGAATCAGATTTTCGATCTTTAACTCTTAAATATAAATATAAAAAAAAAACACATGTTGTACTTCATTAAAAAAAATATAATAAGTAGACAAATTGATCCCTTATAAAAATTGAGGGTACTTATGAATCAAACACAAATACCGGTTAATTAAATTCTCCTATAAGCATACCTTTTTAAAAATTATAATTCGTGAATTAAAAACTTTGTTTATGAAATCACAAACTTACATATCCACTTATGATTACCACCATATATTATTTCAAAATGAAATCCAAGACACTGAGAGATAATCACTCAAACAAAAATACTCAAGAGAATATCACTAAAATTCTATCAACAAGTTAACTTTCTCCATATTTCACTTAACTTTTTCTATGATGCATATTATGAAGGTGTTAAGACATGTATTGACACCGTAAAGTTCTTCACCAATGTCTCTCTCCAACACCATAAAATTCACTGTATTGACACACTTTGAAGTTTCTAACATGATTGAGTTGATGAATCACGACGTTAAGAGCGAGAGGCAAACATCATGGTTGTCCACAAATTGGCAAATGGAATACCGACAAACAAATTAAAAACATGATTATGGCCAGATTTGAGATGTTTTTTGGTTTAACGACAATAATTGATGATAGTTACCAGGTGTCAAAATATGAGGAGAGAGAGTGGCATTTTCCCATCCACGTCATAGTTAGGGAGGCACGAGTGTCTGAAAGAGGCAAATATCGTGCAGACTAGCCTTCACAGTTCACAAATTGTCATTTTTCTAATTTTTTTAAATTTTATTCCCCAATAAGGTAATTTTTCATCTTATAAATAATATTCAATGAAATATTCCTATGATTCTGAGATCATCTTCCTCACCTCCGGATCAGCGCAAAAATAAACAATAATTTTTTTACCCTTTGAATTTTGGGATCCCGGATTTCTTCCCAGTGTCGGATTTCGGAAAACCCTACACAGGGCCAATCAGAAACCCTAGATTCGTCTCCATTTTTGGAAGAAATTTTCACTGTAATATGAACGCATTTCAGTTGATTTTTCAGGAAGCGCGAGTTTCATTTGGCTCTGTTCTTTCTGTTATTTCGGGATCTTGAATACCCAGAAAGGGAAATCAATTTTGTTTTATTGTTATTGTTATTGTTATTGCTATTGTTTATTTGTTTTTCCCCATTGTTGAGGTGGAAGTGAGAGTGCATTTGGAATTGGTGAAGTGGGGTTGGGTTGTGTTGTGTCGATGAATGCGTGATCTGGGTGGACAGAAAGAGAAGGGTGAGGAATGAGAGGGGCATAAATGTCTGCTCCATTGGGTATTGGAATTCGTTCTGGAAGTTATGGGTCTCTGGATAAACAGGTACAGAACGGCTCTGCACGCAAGGCTTCAAAGATGCTCAAGGAGAAGGAGAAGGAGAGGTTGTTCCTTTGGATCTGCAAGTTCGCTGGCCGCAAGAAGGTCGGAATGCTCTTCCTCTGTCTCATCTCTGCTGCAGTTTTCATCTGGGTTTTGTATGTTGGAAAAGGTTCTCTCACTTTCTCCGTTTCCTTCCATTTCTTTATTTATTATGGTTGCCGGTAAATTGTAATTATGTGATCGCAGTAAGTGTGTTTATTACAATTTAAGCACCTATATTGGTTAGGTCTAGGGGAAGGTAATAGTTTCCACAATGCAACAGACCTTAGTTCGATTACCTGCTCAAGAAAGATTTCCGGATTTAGTATCTGATATTATCTCCAACAGAATTGCCTGGGCGGATGCCTTGTGTACGTGGGGGTGGAGGGATTTCAATTTTAGCATTCATATTTTAAGTGGTGATATGCCATTGTTATCTAGTTCTTTGTTTGGCTCAACTGGGTATGCTAGAATGTGCAGTGAGTTGTGATTTTCTTCTGTCGTTTGATTTGGATCTTATTTAGAACATAGCATGATGCTTGCTTGCAGGTGAAGATTCTCAGGAAGCAAACAGAGTATCAAGCATTAGCGAGAATGAAAGCATGTCTACAAGTGATTCTACATCTCGGATCTCTACGACAAATGCAATGGACTTAACTACAAAATTGAGCCCTCCACCACCCCCTGCCTATTTTTTGGGCTACCATCTTCCTCCAGGGCATCCGTGTAATAGCTTCACACTTCCTCCCCCGCCTGCCGATAAAAAGCGTACTGGGCCACGTCGTAAGTTTTAGTTTACTATTTGCTGCCTAAAATCTCTTGTACAATAGTTGATGACCCTTAATAATTTGCATTAGTTCCCATAATCCCTGTATAGATTAATTAGTTGTTCGAAACTTGTTTATGTTTTAGCATGCCCGGTGTGTTACCTTCCTGTGGAAGAGGCCATTGGACTGATGCCAACTTTGTCCTCACCTTCACCGGTCCTTAGGAATTTAACATATGTCTACGAGGAAAATTTAAATAGAGATCGAGAATTTGGTGGTTCAGAATTTGGTGGATATCCTACTTTGAAGCAGAGAAATGATTCTTTTGATATACGAGAGTCAATGAGTGTGCACTGTGGGTATGTTTTACCTTTTGTTGAATTTTTCCCTTGTAAGTTACATCTATACCAACCAAGGAATGTTCTTTTGTGGTTATAGTTGTCTCTGATAGTAATAAAGCATTCTTGCTCCTTTTACTGACATGAGTCCATTATGTATCTTCAATGATGAATGTGTTACCGATCAGATTTTTAAGAGGAACTAAACCTGGCCGCAACACAGGATTTGACATTGATGAAGCTGACCTTTTCGAAATGGAACAGTGTAATGGAGTGGTTGTTGCATCAGCCATATTTGGTCTGTGTTACATGATTGCTGAATTTATTTACTTATGTATTAGCTTGTAATTAATTGTAAGTCAAATTTATTGTCCAGGAAACTTTGACGAGATAAATGAGCCAAGAAATGTAAGTGACTATTCGAGGAAGACTGTGTGCTTCCTCATGTTCGTAGATGAAGAAACAGAAAAATATCTGAGCAGTTCTGGCAGGCTGGGAATCAGCAAGAAGATTGGTTCATGGAGGATTATTGTTGCTCGTAATCTGCCTTATGCAGATGCAAGACGGACAGGAAAGGTCAGAATTACATTTGACTGGCAGCATCATGACTGAAATAGAAATCAGCATATGGGTTCTTAGCTGTTATTGTTACTGAAATATTTTTTAATTTGCTATGTTGTTCCGAATGATCTGGTCATTGCTGTGGGCAAATAATATTGTTTGGTTGTCGTTTCACTTTGGTTAATCTACCTTCTGATGGTTAATACTGCCAATCTGATCTGTCCTCACTATACGCAAAGGGGAGGGTAAAATGCTTAGATAATAGTCCTCCTAGTATAAGCTAGATCCTGTGTATGAATTGAATAAAATTAAAATTTTGCGCAGGCATTTATGTTTCTCGTTCCTAAAGTAGTACTTCATTATTACCCTATATTGCCTTTTCCACAGATTCCAAAGCTGTTGTTGCATAGATTAGTTCCAAATGCTCGCTATTCTATATGGCTTGATGGAAAGCTTGAGCTTGTTGTGGATCCATATCAAATTCTTGAAAGGTATTAATCTCTTTGATGTTGTATATAATATATCCCTATGCTTATTCATTCTATATGTGAAAGTGATATAAGTTTTATCGTTTCAGTCCTATGATTAATTTTAAATAGATTGGCATGTAGATTTCTATTCTATCCAATTCGGGTTGAGATATGATATCCCTCTTATCTATCTAAAACACTCATAACATGTTTCCAAACTACAGCCACCGTGGGACTAGGTGATATGAGTTTGATCTGTATGCATCTCTTGCTTTTAAGTAGAGTGACTATTTATATAGTTTTGTTGTGGTCACTATTGCTCTAAGTCCATATACTGATATTCTCTTCCCAGTCCAGTGTATGGTTTGTCCTCCAAGTAGGGAATACCTATCTTGCCCAAGGTGACATATTAATCTATCTAGACAGTAAGTCCCTTCAGATTGTCCATAGATGATGACTTCAGTGTAGTTACGAGTTTTGAAGATCACAAATCAATGGTCTTACTGAAGAGCTTTCTGCCTTGAAATGGTTGCCGATACTCTAGCTGTGGATTTTCTACTCTTTTATGTTGCTAATCAATGATAAAATAGTCTTTTCAAAGCATAGCAGTGGAAACTTAGGATAACTTAATCATCAACAAGATTAAATTCTAATCTAGTCGCACTTTCAAGTAATCCCCTATTGACTGCATGTGTAACTTTTAATAACCGTACAGAACAAGCCCTATATGGTATATTCATTGCACTTGGGACTTAACATTTTCAGCAGCATGGGCCCAGACACACCTTTTATTGGGAGTGAAGTAGGAAAAAAAAAAAAGAGAGAATATGAAGTCCTTTAAGAATAACCATAGCAGAAACAAAATAAAAGAAACAGAAGCTTGATACTACTCGAGTCATTTTCCTTCTTTCGGAACTTCTCATCTAGGCTGCATGGCATACCTGCTAGCATATTCCAAAATACCATCCATGATTGCTCAGGGTAAAGTTGTTTGTTTTGGGGCAACAGAGGTACGGTAACAGATAATAGAATCCCATGATTACTGGTTAGAACATCACTACATGTTTGCTGTAGGTAAGATTGGACGAGAAGTCTTGATCTCTGCCTCTGCTTTGTATAAATTAGGATAATTATTGTCATGTGGTGTAGGTATTTCTTCAAATTGATATTTTCTCTGAAATTAGTGCTCATAGATAACTGGCATGATAGGAGTTGTCAGTTATGGAGAAGATCCTTGAAAGTGAATTTGTCTCTGAAGTATACAACTAAGGATATCCACTCTGGATTCAACTTAAAATACATTGTGATCATAACGAACTAAAATGCCATAAGAGAGTTACCCTTCTTCGAGAACTTCAAAAAGAAGTTCGGTTAAGAGCAGCCTTGATCCATCAATTTTCGCCTTTGATGCCTTTCCTCTAGGACATATTTTATAGGCTTGTAAAACTAATATTTCTTATATATGTAAGTATTGGAGTCTTGTCAAATGCCTGCCTCAGCTTATAGGATTTTTCATTTACTGGTTGTGTAATTGAAATGTTAACAGCTTTGATGATTTCATTTTATTTTGGTGATTTTACTGCACAATATCGTTGGTTTTGCAATTGGTTTTGTTTGATCCTTCACATACCTTAGCTCTATACTGAGTTTACTTTCCATTTTTAGTGGCTATCCAAGGTGAATTTGTTTTTGGATGAACAAAATACGAATACATACTAATATGTTTCTGGATGAACAAAATACTAATATATACTTATTTGTTCTATAAATATCAAGCTTGTGTTTTTACTGGATTTATATGTACGATAATGTGGAGTATCTACCGAAATGTAATTAATTTGGAGTCATATGTCATACTTATGCACTTTCTGACTTCTTACAACCTCTATTGAACTTTTCCTTTTCCATTATACATGTTTTGACATCTAAACAACCCTTCACCCTTGTTTAGGTTTTTGTGGAGAAAGAATGCTACTTTTGCAATATCAAAGCATTATAGACGTTTTGATGTATTTGTTGAGGCTGAGGCAAATAAAGCTGCTGGAAAGTATGAAAATACCTCCATTGACTTTCAGATCGAGTTTTACAAGAAAGAGGGATTGACCCCATATACAGAGGCCAAGCTTCCTCTTATAAGTGGTAGGTTAAACTGCCTTTCCTGTATTTTTCTGGGATTGGATGCACCTGTTTCTTTGCTTTCTTTTCAACTTTTTTCAACCTTCCAACTTCATGTCTGAGTTGCAGATGTACCTGAAGGATGTGTGATAGTACGAGAACATGTTCCTATAAGTAACCTCTTTACTTGTCTTTGGTTCAATGAAGTTGACCGATTTACTTCAAGGGACCAGATTAGTTTCTCAACTGTAAGGGACAAAATTTTGTCCAGGGTAGATTTTCATTTTCACATGTTCTTGGATTGTGAAAGACGCAACTTTGTTGTTCAGGTAATTATTTTATCTTGCCAGGATTTCAATATCTGTCTATTGCATTGATTTCCAGAAGGTACCTGCTGTTTCCGATGAGACGAACGTTTAGTAATGCAATAAAGATGAGCACATGCATGTGCACGATGCTGAACAGTTAAAGCATTAAGTAAGTGCAATAAAGATGAGCACATGCATGTGCGCAACCTTTAAAAGTAAATGTAACTAATAATAACATTTTCCATATTGATGATTACTCTTTTATATTTTCACAGATAAAACCCTTTTATTTCCGTTTCATTATTTTTATGTTTCTTTTAATGTTTTCACACTTAGACAGGAACTTTCACATCTTTCACTATTTAAGTACTTGACTCATTTATTTCATTGCTTGGGAGGATCTGTGACCTATTCCATCATAAACTTTTATAATAATTGCATTTGTTTTACTCCACAAAAATTTAGCTGTGTTCTGAAAGTGTACTGCAACCACATTTGTTACAGAAATACCACAGGGATCTATTGCTGCGCCTGGCTCCACCAGCAACCTTTGGTTACAGTTCACCCCCGCCACCATCTCCTCCTCCGTTGCATGTGCTTGAAGCATCACCTGAAAAGGGACCAAACTTATCCGTTAGAAGAGGCCCTGGAAGGCGTGGAAAAGATCGAAGAACCGGTCAACGGCGCCACCGCAAAGTTGTAGCTGGAAGTAGAGAGATGGAACCATCCAAATTAGCAGTTTCGTTTGGGTGATTATATCATCATTATTATTTTTATCATTATTTTTAAATTCCACTCACAAAAATGTCATTCGTTACAGTGCTGGAGGGAAAATGTGCAAGATGAGTGTTGTATTGTTTACACATAGATGCTCTCATTCTTTTTACTATCCGCAATTGTCCATTTTTGTTGATTTTTTACTGTATATATAGTAAAATTTTCAATAATTATACTATGGGTTGCCACTAAATTCCTCATGTGGTAACCTACTTTTCTATTCTGCTATCACAGAAATATGTACTTCCTCCTCTCTGTCATACCAGAACAATACATTCAAGACTTGTTCTTTCGTATTTCGTATTAATAGAAGCAAAGTTAGATCAGATACTGTTTCCTCTATGTTTGTGTTGGTGATTACATTCCAGAGTAAACTGTCATTCAGTTGAGTCACTGAAAAAAAGGAAATTAACAGGAAAAATGTATATAATATTTTCTGTTATTTGATCATTCAGTTTCATGAGTACTTGTTTTTTTCATTTTCATTTCGTGTAAAGTTTAAAAATCATTATTTACTTGTTCTTTTTCCTCTATGTAACTCTCACTCTCACACTGACCTGAGTTGAATACCTTGTAAGTAAGGTTATATTGGACTATAATTTATAATTAGAAGTAATCTTATTACACATATATAGAGAGAGAAGAATTATATATCAGATTGTCGTATTTCATTCATTTGACTTAATTTAAAAAGTCTCTCTCTCTCTCTCTCTCTCTCTCTCTCTCTCTCTATATATATATATATATATATATATATATATATATATATATATGTGTTTTTTTTTTCTTTTTTGGATAGATGCTCTCATTCTAACTAAACTTTCGACTCTGAAATAAAAAAGGCTGTTCTGTGAGTTCTATCCAATCTCAAGATTTATCCATTCTAACTCTCTAATTGAAATTGACTGGAATAATGAGTTTATAAATTTCAAATTCGATAAAGTTGACCAAATGTAAATAGATAATAAAAATAATAATTAATGATTTTACTTAAAAAAACAAAATTATATTTTATTATAAATATTAATAATACTTATAAATGTTTTTTCAAGAGGTAATGTTTTTAAATATTATTCAATTCAATCTAATTATAATTAAATTATGTTATTAAATAAAAAAAAGCATAGCTTAAACCAATTAAGTTAACTTAAATTGAATTTAACCAAATCAAAATCACTTAAACCCGTGTATAAAATTATAGATTGGGTTAACTCAAATTTTGAGTCTCCTTTTTATAAAACTTGTCTTCACGCTTTCTGGAACAGTGTGATTCCAGTTTGAGAAGTGTTAGATTCATGATAAAGTGGACTATAATCTCTTTATTTTTGTGTCTCAAACATGCTTAAAAAAACGTGAAAAAACAAATGAGAACTTATGTTTATAAGCTTCTATGTCCAACATAATAAATACCCAAATTTTATATGTTTTCTTTTGTTAAAAAGTTTTATTTAATTAACCATTTTTTTTAATGTTATAGTTTCATGTAAGATATATCTTGTAAATATTTTGAAAGTATAATGACTTATTTTATATATTATTATTTTTTGCTTAAAAAAATATTATGTAAAACAGTTTATGAATTTTGTAACTTTGAGAAAATTTAATGATTTAAATAACTCTAAGTGACACTACAATTCTAATAACTTTCACAAAATAAATGTTTATATTGTATGCATTTTTTTGGTTATCGTGTATTTATAAATTTTATTGATGATTAGTTTTTGTTAAAAAAACTTCATTAATTATTGTGATAGATTTATCTCTCCACTATTTTTCAATTTATAAATTTTGAATTAGAGTCTTAAAGATAAGAGAATCATACTCACACAAGTTTCACACTGAAGTTAGTATTCCTGAATACAATTTAAAAATTTATCATAATAAAAATTTATTTTGATTTATCGAATATATAAATAGCAGAAACCTTGGACTAGAAGAATGAAGAATCACATTGTTGTATAATCTTTACATTAATTTTTTATTTTTAAACAAACTTTAATTCTTACTTGATTATATTTAGATTTTAACCAAAAATATTTTATTTATTCATTATATTATCTAGTTATTATATATTTTTTTAAATTAAGTTAAACAAAATTTACAAATTCTTTCTCTCTTCCTCTATTATAAGTAATTTTAATTTTAATTATATATGCATATATTTTCATTTTCCATTCCTTTTAATTTATTATCTAATCCAATAAAATATGAATAATGATAATATCTTTTAGTACACAATAAAAAAAAATTTGACAACCTTTTTCCAAAATTATGTTTTGTCTTATATATATATATATATATATATATATATATATATATATATATATATATATATATAGTCTTATATACTTATTTTTATTAAGTAACAGGTCTAATTTTCATAATAGTGTAAATGATTAATGAAATTAAGTTAACATGATATATTAAAATAAATTAAAAGTTAATATTTATTTAGAATAAAATTTGAAAAAAAAGGCAAAGAAAGATAAAATATAAAATAATTATTTTTATTTCAATTAGATTTTTTAAGAGGAGCAAACATAATAAACACAATAAACACCCCGAATAAAAAACACTAAAAATTCCACTCTCTTTAAAACACCAAAAATTTAGAATCTTTCCCTCTGTATACAGAGTAATCCTTTGCAGCAAACGAAAGATACGCAGGTAAAAAATGATAAAAAAGAAAGAAAGAGAAGAAGATAGAAAGTTTCAGAATTTAAAAAAGTTTATACATTTTAACATATAATAATCATTTATTTGAAGTATTTTTTTTTAAATTATAACTCTTTAAAATTTAAGTGGAGGTATAAACAACAATTTCTATAAATAATAAATATGATAGTAGAAAAACTTTAAGAAAAAAATTGATTTTAAATTATAAAATAATTATTTAAATTTTAATTAATTTTTAAAATTAATGACTTATCAAAATTTAATATTATATCCGGAGGTTAAAAAAGAAGGAATGATAAATTGTTTGGATAAAAAAATTGAATTAACATCATAAATAATACACTTTAAAAAAATTATATAAATAAAATATTTGTTAACTTATTTATCAAATTGTACCTATTTATTATTCATATGTTATTATTAATTTTCTTTTTCATTCTTTTTTTTCCTTTTTTAATAATTTTTAATTTTTTTCTTTATTCTTCTCTTCACTCCACTTAATTTTCTAATTAAAAAATTATATTAAAATTTATTAAAAATATATTAAAGTAACTTTTAAAATTAAAAAAAATAAAATTATGATAACAATAAATAATTAATTTAAAATAATTTTATTATATTAAATTAAAATACTTATTTAATAAAAAAATTTAAATATATATTTTTATGTAATATTTTAATCTTATTATAATTAAGATAGATTATGATGATTAGTTAAATTAAGTATTTTTAAAAAATTATTTAAAATAAATATTTTATTACTTTACATTTTAATTTTAACAAAATATTTTAATATATTTTTATCAAATTTAATATAATATATTTAATTAAAAGAATAAAAAAAAAAGAAAAAAAGAGAGAAGGATAATAAATTAAAAATGAAAAAATAAAATAAAAAGTGAATAAAAAAAATAGAGAGTAAAATATAAAAAATAGGAAGAAAATAAAAAATGCACATACCAATTTAGACACCAACATAATTTTTTTTTCCAAAAATTATTTGTAAGAAATTTAACTAAAAAATTATTTGTAAGAAATTATCATATATTTGTAAGAAATATTTTAGCTTCAAACTTAATTAATATATACTGTAATAATAATTATAAAGAATTTGAAGCTAAAATATTTCCTACAAAGTATATGATATATAAGATAAAAAACAGGGAAGAGAAATCTATTTAATTACAAAAACTAATTATTTTTCTTCTAATTTTATCTTAAATTCATTTCTGTTTTCAACAATATTTGAGAAGAGAAGAACCCCGATCGAGTGTGTAGTATGTTAAGCGATGATGACGCTGGTGAGAAGTGGAATGCTGAGGTTCTTCTCACCTTCTCTCTCTCACCCTCACACCTTCTCATTCTCTTCTTCTTCCCTCTCCATTCCCAACCCACCAACACCCTCTCTCCCAAACCCTCTTTCCCGTTCAATTTCAACCCACGCTTCCTTCCAAACGCAGCTTTTCATCCCTCCGGGCATTCAACCAGACGAGGTTGACGACTCCGCTGTCCTACCGGGCTCCAACATCGCTGTCGGACCCTACGCCGGAGACTCCCGGATTAAGGAGGTGGAGTTCGTCAAAAGCAGCAGTCGCGCCAAGGATTGCCCCAGAGATGACCGACCCGAATTCGCCGTTCTCGGTCGATCCAACGTCGGCAAGTCCTCCCTTATCAACTCCCTCGTTCGCAAGAGAGAAATTGCTCTCACTTCTAAAAAACCAGGTAAAGCTTCCTTTTTCCCCCTTTTTAATATTAATTCTTACGCGCTTCGAGCTTTTGTATAATAACGTGTGGTTGATGCTTGCAGGGAAGACGCAGCTCATTAATCACTTCTTGGTGAACAAAAGCTGGTACCTTGTCGACTTGCCTGGTTATGGGTCAGTTCATGTGCTCTGTTTCCCCTTTCTATGCTTCTTGTTGGAATATTTTGTTTAAAATAAACTAAAAAGATTATTATTTTAGAATGGAGGGAGTATGAAGTTTCCAATTCAACGTGAAAGTTTCATTTTTCAGTTCTAGTCAAACATGCCTTTAGTAGCAAAGTTAAGTGCATGTTTCGATTCACATTTTCAAAATCAAGTTCAAAAACTGGCTAATGTGGTTTTAAGTACGAAATGAAATGTTTGATCCATGTTGAGGAGCTGATTTTTGGACCAAAATTGATTTTGACTAAGTGACTTTAAGTAGTTTTTACATTGGGTTCAAAACTCTATAGTTTATATGTTGAGTTTTACTACTTACTTGCCTTTGGAATAATATCATTCAAACATAAATCGGTCTTCTTCAAAATGAATTTTGCTAACTCCTTCAAACACACTAATTTTAGTAAAATGCAACCAAACATGCTATTTCACTGCAGAATCTCAATGCTTGAATGTCTCCGTTGTGAATCGAAACAAAGAATTAAGGACTCAATGGCATTGGGGGCAAATCGACAATCTTACAAAATATGAACTGCATTGAAATGTAATTTTATTAAATCTTGGAATAGTAAGCATAGATCCATATTTGGGAGAGGTCAACTGATTCCATATTTGCTTCATGAAGCTGATTGGTACAGGACCTACGTATTCTCCTTGCTTTTCTAGTTTTTTGGGGTGTTCAACCATTACAACAATTACATTTTCTTCTAAAACACTCAGCAACTATGTTGTATGTTTACTTGTATTACCCAATTGTCTGGCTTTATCCATTTTTCTTAAATGATTTTCTTCTGTGTATTTCCACCTCCCTCCTGGATTGGAAAGGATTTAGGTTTAGTGGTTGTTCATGTTACTGTTTACTAATCATATGAAATATTGTTTTTTATGTAGCTTTGCTAAAGCATCTGAAACTGCTAAAACGGATTGGTCCTCGTTCACAAAAGGGTACTTTTTGAACAGAAATACTCTGGTGGCTGTCTTGCTTCTTATTGATGCAAGTGTTCCACCTCAAAAGATTGACTTGGATTGTGCAAATTGGCTTGGACGCAATAATGTATGGTGCTTCCTTTTTATATTTTTGGCTGCAGTATGATGCTTCTCGTATATTCAATCCCATAAAAAACTTTTGTGAATTGCAGATACCAATCACTTTTGTGTTCACAAAATGTGACAAGATGAAAGTGGCAAAGGGGAAACGGCCTGACGAGAACATAAGAGATTTTCAAGAGTTAATCAAACAAAACTATAAGCAACATCCCCCATGGATTATGACCAGCAGTGTCACTGGACTGGGCAGAGATGAGCTCCTCTTGCATATTTCTCAGCTAAGAAACTACTGGGATCAGTAGGAGAAAAGCGCAAATTAAGAAGTGACTTTCTACAAGAAAAGAGGCCATGCAGTAGCAAAGTTGAAACTACAAAAGAAGCAACTATAAAGAAGAATTATATGAAAAAGCAATGGGTTGGGTTGCTTCTTGTAATATTTCAGGTGGATCTTTGTTCTTCTTGAGCTGCAACCAGATATATAACTTGCATGAGAATCAAGTTTCAGTTGTTTCTGGACATTGAATGTCCATATACGGACGCCGAGTATTTGGGTTAATGAGTTGATGTTTTATGCAAAAGTGAGGCCGGTTATAACAGCACAGGAATGTAGTATGCTTTCAACAGGGATATGGTTGTAGTGACTTGAATACATGTTTTGGCGTACTATTATTTTGGCGTTTATTCAAGATATTCTGGAGCAAATATGCACCTTTTGCAACATGTAAACATTATAGATGCTTTGATTATATTTTGAAGCTGAAATAAACAGTACTACTGCAAGTTGCATTTCCTCTATTGTCTTTCAGATTAAGTTTTATTGGCCTGCATATGTTTATTGGTACTGTTACATGTGCAGGAAGTGTCCTACAGTGTTACGTCTATTTCCACCACAATACGCCACACTCCTTTGAAAACCTTTATTTTTCGTGGAAAATGGTTATTTCTTGTTACACAATGGACGTATGCTGGGTGTCTAGCAGGAACTGAATAATTTTCTTACTACAAATGTCCTAGTTTTTAACAGGGAAAAAGATTGTTTGACACTCACCTTTTAACAATCATATTTTCTACAACCTTATTTAATAATAATATAATAATTTTAAATTATTTTTATTGTTATAAAATTTGTTTATGATTATTATAATAATAAAGAGTTGTTTGGATGTGTTTTGGTTGAAGGGTATCAATGTATCAGCTTCCTTTTAATAGTTACAAACAATTTGAATGTCTTTTTATAGTTTATTTCAGTCCATGCATAAGTTCTTACACAACATAGTTAACCAGAAAGGACTTCTTAATGCTGCTCGGTACACACGAGACATGTATGTAGGTGTTTCAAGCCTGCATTATTTCCTTTTGATTCAGATAGGGTGAAGAATAATAGAACATTGATTCAGTTGCAGCTTTATCCACGTACTGAACCATTAGGCTGTAACACTATTTGGCACACCTCTTCCTGTTGCCCCAGGTTCAGAGCTTGGTATAAGCAGTTCAAATGGTAAAACGTCAACGCCACATCTGTTTCTAAGTTTTGGATCGGCGTTCCGTCTCTTGATCTCAATCTCAATACTTTTCATCTCTATTGAAAATTGATTGAATGCATCAATGATCTCTGGTTCTTCTAACCAAGAGGACAAATCGTTCCTGTCTCCTATATATTCTTCGTCTGGTGAGTGTGCAGAACCAATGTTGATGACAGCCATGAACCTTGATGCCTGAAATAAACTCGGCAGTGCAGATAAGAAGTATCTCTGTGGATCCGTGACAAAATCTGAGTACTCGGGATCCTCTTCCTCGGGAATTAGTTTTCGCATTGACGGTGGACGGATTGGAACATACCCACCATAGGGGTATTGACCAAAGTTCAAGACAGCGTGTTGTGCTGATACAAGCCAAATAACAGTTGTAAGCACGGAGGTGAGATCCTCAGGGTTTGCAAGTTTGGGCCACCAACTTGCATTTCTATGATCAGGGTGTCCGAGATTGATGAATTCCGCGTACCAAGATTGGAGTTCATTGTCAGAAGAAACGGCATTGGAATTTTCGTAGTAATGGTTCACATACGTCCGGACCAACTTCTTTATACTGGACCATATGAGAAGTCCATCAGCTGCATAAGGGTAGTCTTCAATTAGTAGTCTAATGCCGTGAGGTTGGGTTGCATCTGGAACTGCTAAACCTCTATATAAGAAAAAAGAAGTCATTAGATATCATCATCAATGTCTAGGTACCCAGCAGAGGATGATGTTAAATAGTGAGAGCTGCATAAAGGTTGTAAAAGTAAGTCCATTATTAAACAATATAATCTATTTTGAAACAAATGCATCAAGAACTCCATTTCATCCAATACAAGAAAATTTTACGATAATCTTATGCATAGAATTGCAGTGCAAGATTTTCCCTCCGAAGTCCGAATCGAAGAATAATGTTATGAGTGAAAACAATCTTATTTACCTTCTTATGAGATCATCAGGAAAACCTTGCATGTCAAACCGCCACCAATCTTTATATGCAGCAGAGGTCATTTGCATGCAGTATCTCCCTGGAGTGTGGTCTGTCTCAATGGTACCTTCAGCATTGATGAGTGTCTGACGTGTTGTTGCATTTGTTTTGATTGTGTACCGCATATGAGGATTCAGAAGCTTGAATATAGGATGCATCACACTCAATTGCCGATGAGCAGCAATTATTAGTGGTTCCATGCAAGCATGTATTCGTAACCTGTTCAATTACAAGAGGTCAATGTCACCATGTTCGTTACTACTTTCTAATCATCAAGAAAGATATCTGATACATGATATGCAAATCTCTGTATTTTGTGATTGTTATACAGGTGAGTGTTAATATTTCTTGGTTCTTGCTTGTAGCTCTAGTATGAGCCATACAATCCCCACCAAATTGCATTGAGGTGGGAGGAATAATATGATAATGGCATCATCTATTTTCTAGAGTAGATGGTCCAAGTAAGGATCTTTCAAATGTTATTTATAAGGAAATAAAATGGTTAAAATTTAGGTGTAGTTCTTTACCTGTCTTTGATACTGTTCTCCTTCACTTGTGAATTCAAGTTCAATTTAAAATGTGGGGACATTTATTGTGAAACTACAATTTCAATTAGAAAAATCACTAAAAACACTAATGAAACTGTCCAATAAAATTCCATACCAGTGGTGCAAAAGTGTATGAACGCCAGCATCATTGGAGCAAACATGTGCTTTGCCAAGTTGCCATAGCCATTTGGAGGTGGCATCTGTTGGAGGGGTGAGAACTTGTTTGGATGATGTATTTGGATTCCCTGTTGGAAGAGCAAGCTGGATGGCAATAGGCTTCAGAGTTCCCGTTTTGGTGAGGAACAAAATTGTGGTTGTTGCATAAGCTTTTCGCTCCTCAAGAGCATTAATCCGATCCAGGAATGGCAGGTAAAAATCGTGATAGTCCACTATGAACAACTTATTCTCTTCCAATGCCTAAATTTCAAAAAGGGAGTAGAATATTAAAGATTTTATCATTTGTCATAATTTCCACAGAACTTCCCTAGGAAAGAAGACCAATTTTCTGTACCTGTTGAATAGACATCCCTTCAATATGCCCTATAATGTGTTCTTCTTTCAATGCTGACTCTACTGAACCATATTTAGAGGGATCCAATTTGCTCACGGGTGGAAAATCCTATAACAAAATGAAAAAACATGAAGCTGGTTTAACTATATTGTTCATTGTTCCTATTTCCCTCTCTTCTTAAGTTTTATTCAAGACTATAAAATCATGATAAAGAACATGGAAGACTTATAGAAAAAAAATATTTCTCTTATCATAATTACCTCCAGCCTTTGAATACTTAAAGGGAATTCAGCAAGTACTTGACGTCCAAGTTCATCATCTTGTAAGAAATGTGATCTTCCCCCTGAAATTCATTCCACTTCATTTGAATAATTTGTGTCTAAAATGAAACCATGTAGACACAAATATAAACTTGGACAATGAGATGAGAGTTTTAAATTAACTTACCTGAAAAAACTTTTGGAGGGTCGAATTTGAAAAAATCTTGTGCAGCACCTCCCAAATTGAAGAGAAGAGATTGGCCTGACTCTTTAATGAAGTAATCAATGTTGAAAAGTGTTTGATTGCCCATGATTTTTTCTGTTAACGCAGGCATAATATTCCTAAGAATTGCCATCATCTTTCCTTCCTCAATAGCGACTCTCTTTATGTCGTTCAACTCTTCATCTCTAGGAACGTATATTAACTCTGATGCACTTGGTCGTGACTCCACTTTCGAATCTATCCATGTTTGCATGTAAACATGAGAAAAACGTAAAGAGATAGCATGCATTTTACATCACCAGACAAAAACAAACAAGAAGAAAAATAATATGTTATTAAAAATGAGTCCGAGACAAGTTGCTTAATAGTGGTGTCAAAATATCATTTTCCGAAGAAAGAAAGTGACCGGTGGTGGTGAGTGGGCGTCCAGTGCGGCAACGTGTGGGATAAGGGTTGAGGGGACCACCGAGTGTTGGCCTCTCAGACTTGCCATCTCCCAAGTCGTTGTAGAGATCGTAATCATAGATTCTGTCAGAAGCCACCCTGCGACCCTTCCCGTCACCCCTCAGCTTCACCGTCTCCTTTTCTCTCAATTCTTTCACCCCAATCGGTGTTTCACTTGGTAGATACGCCTGTTCATTTTACATGCACACACTTACACCAAATATGAGTCAAGAACAATGCAAATGAGTTTGTTAAAATTTGTAATATGGTTTAATTCTGTATAAAGTTTTGTTGCTTTAAATATATGTTTTTTTTTCTTAAAAAATCATTAAAATAACTTAATTTCTTTTAAAATCATTAAAATAATTGAATAAGGTAAGTTGTTTTATTTAATCATATTTTTCATAGATCACACTCATATACAAATAGAATAAATTAGATTAATAAAATTAAAATAAATTTTGACCAATAATTACTTTTTTAAAATAAAATATGTTTAATTTATGGAAGATTAATATTTATGCTTATAATTGGGTTAAAAAAAACAGTTGATTGTGAATTAAAACAAATATAATTCATTTAACTTCTGAGTTAAATGAATTTAAATCGAGATAATAATGTGTTTATCCTTACCTAATTTTATTTAACTATCTAATAGTTTAAATTTTACTCATTTATTAACATGTAAACAGTGTTGTCTTAATTTTTAAATTACAATATTCAATATATTTTATTTATTTCCTATTTGTGATCTAGTATACTATAAATGAAGTACATAAATATAAAAAAATTAAAAAATAATTACATCAATAAAATATTATTAATAATATTTTTTATTTTATTACGTAAATTATTATTTATGATGTTTAAATTTAAATTTGATTTTTTTTATTTCCTATTTGGTTGTTGATTGAATTTAAAATTGTTGTAATAAAATTCAAATTGAGAGAGAAAAAAATCTTACAATATCTTAATATATTATTAATAAGTGCACATGAAGCTCATTTTCTTACAAGTTTTTTAATCTTTCAAGTGAGGCTTATTTTACTTTAGACAGGAGAGTCGTTCTTATCCTTATACTACACTAAATAATAAATCATTTGAAATGGACACACCATGAATTAATTATACTTTTATTGCATCAAGTCACAATCATGAACATGGTGGTTCTTTGAGTGGAAAGGTGCGAGGGACATGATTGCAATTTAAAAATTACTCACTCAGTTCACAACCAAACATACCCTCCAATTAGGTGTCAATCATTCAAATTTATCTTTAAATATGCAATTAACAATCTATATATTCTACTCTTGGATGGCTTATTTTATTTTATTTTATTTTTATAGATTTGAATTTTAAATTCTAATTAATATACTTTTATGGGTAAGACACACCTTTTATATTTAATTATAAAATTATATTTATTATATGATTATGATATGATATTTCTTTCTATTTATAATATTTTATTTAACATATTTTCTTATATATTTTTATAATCTCCCTAGTTTTTGTAAAAAAAATATATAAATTAAAAGTCTTGAGAAAATTATATGTAAATTTAATAAAAGTTGTATTTTAAACATTATTTATATTATATCATAATGCTAAATACTGTCTAACCAAATAAAATTTATACAATATTTGAAAAAGTATAATACTCAATATTTATTACTCATGCTTTGAGCACCAAAAAGAAAATGATAACACAATTGGTTAAGAAATAATAATAATAATAATAATAATAATAATAATAATAATAATAATAATAATAATAATAATTATTATTATTATTATTATTATTATTATTATTATTATTATTATTATTATTATTCAAAATCACAACAAATGTATCAATAGCATCAACGATTCCACTTCTTTGACTTTAAATGTCTTATCTATTGATTTTTTTTACGAATAAATTTTATGTGATACCCAATAAATCATGTGATTCTCACGAAACTTACATAAAACGAAATAATAGACAAGCTCTTACTTTTATTCTATTTACTTGTAATAATATGTTTTACAATAAAAACAAAGAAGAGAACAGAAGTATGAAAAAGAGAGAGATATATAATAGAGAGAAGTAAATAGAAAAATATGCTGTAAAAATATTATAAAATAAATGAGTGAAAATATCATGATTTATTTATAATAGTTAATATTAAAAAGAATTTTATTATTTTAAATTAGTACATTAAGAATGTCAAGTTGTGATTAGAAGATGACTATTGACAATATGGTAAAATATATGTGTGGTGTATGTATACAAGTTGATAAAATTTTAATAATTGATTTACTTTAACTAACAAATATACTTTTATATATATATATACTTTTTAAGAAACACAACATGTCAAGTAATAAAGTATTTTTTTTTCTGAAGAATTCTTAGTTAATGAGGTATATATGACAAAGGACATTTGCCAAGTTGGTATTAAAATCATGGTTCCTCGAGGTTTTCAAAAGAAAGAGTATTTTAATTTGAACTTCATCGTCCAGAAAATTTTAATGGTTTTTATATAATTAATTCTGTAATATTTTGAATTTTAACATGTCTTTATAGCTAAAAAAACAAGTAAATAAAATGATTTAGATAATTATACGTGATTTTTATTGTATTAGTTTCGTTATTACATGTTTAAAAAGTTTAAATCAGTTAAATTTATTTTATTTTATTTAAGACAAGTGCAGAAGGATCTTTTATACGGATAAATATTCACAATCTTTTAGAAGAAAAGACAAGTTCATGTATTATTCAAATTTGACAACATTATTTGATGCAATGATTAATTGTAGATATTTATTTGTATATTTGATTTGATTTCTTATTTTTGTATTTGATTTTATTGATTAATTGTAAGTATTTATTTGTATATTTGATTTAAATTTTTATTTTTTATTTGATTTTAGTAGAGTTTGATTATTTTTTTTTAATTTTACTTTTTATAAGTTTTTTATCATAAAAATATGGATGTTTTTTTTATTTTTTTTGTAATATTTTTATTATGTTATTCCTTATATATTTTTGAAAATTTTAAAAAAATATTGTTTTACCTATTTTAATATTTTTGGTTGTTGTATTTAAATGAAATTTCTTCAATTTTAACTTTAGAACTCTATGTATTATCAAACCACAAAATAACTACTTTATATTTATAATTACTAAAAAACTCCAAACTGATGTAAATACTTGCACTTCTCTTAATAATTTTGATTCCTTCAAAAATAAATTAATTGAGCTCTTAATAATATAGTCTTAACCAACTTAACCTAAATAAAGGTTTATTAAGCTATAGTGAATTTAATTTATCACAAAGTCATAGACTGGATTACTTATTTAAAACCAAATCCTCCATTTGCAGAAGCAATGAATCAAGTTGAACAAGGTAAAGCCAAAGTTAATGCATAGAAAAATCATTACCTTGTTAATTTTGCTAAACTAAGTAGGGTAGGTGAGGTACTGTGTCTCACCTTGTTGACAAAGAAAAATCTCTTGTCTGGGCAAAGCTTGTTTGGTTGAACCCAAGATTTGCAAGCAAAATGAACATTTTGTGCAATGCTTATGCTTTCCAAGAAGAACTCATTTTCATATCCATTAACAACGCTAACAGCTCCAGGAGTTCCAAAATCAGAGTCCACACTGAATTCCACTTTATATCTGCTTATTCCATCACCTCCAAACTTATGATCTTCACTCAACTTCAAAACAGTTTCCTTGCTCAACTTTGCCTCCATTCTCCCTTCCATTCAATATTACACCACAACAATTAACACTTGATTAAACCCACACTAGGTCTCAGGTTTCATACCAGAAAAAAGAAAAAAGAAAAAAGAAAAAAAGATTAAAAAGACACGTACCTGGATCAAGCTCTGTGCTAACAAGTTGAAGAAAAACACCTTTGGTGTAGTTCTGAGGCCAGAAAATGGTGAGAAGGTTATTCACCATTTCACTTCCCAATACCTTATTATTAGTATTACTTTTTCTGACAGTCACCAGAGCAGAGAGCTTGAGGGTAGTGGAGTTCTCAGAGATGACGTCACCCTCATTGATAGCTACCATTCTTGCTGAACTTTGCTTCCCCTTCTTCCTCACTCTGAGTTTCACTATAGATCCAAATCTATGTTCTTGAATGGAATGCCTGAGACTACCAACTTGGCAATGTTTCAAATTCAATTTGCTGTGCAACATGATGCCATTGGCAGCAATATTTGTGACCATCACAGTCTTCGTTCCAGCCATTTTCCCCTCTCCTTCCTCGCTATCCTATCCAACAACTTTTAATAACAATGATCTTTATAAAAGAAAACAAAATAACACTCAGTTGAAAAAAAAATATATATTTCAACGAGATTCCCAAAGAGATGGAGGTCAATTCACATAAGAATTGAAATTATTATTTAAAAATATTAAATTAAAAGATAAATAATAAATTTATAACTCTTGTTTTTAGAGTAAATAAATTATATTATTAAAAAATAAATATAATTTTAAAAAATACAAAAGGAATAATAACTATTTAAAAGAATGTTTAGTTAATTTTATTTATAATTATATTTTTGAAAATATTATTAAGTTTGTATGATTTATAAAATAATAGTTATTTATTTAAAATATTATATTAATTTTTATGAAATAAGAGACACCTTATATCTAAACAAATAAGATAAAAAAATTAACATATAACTTAGTCTTTAATTTATGATGACACACTATAATTATAACTAAACAAAATTCAATAAAACTATTACATAATTATTTTTCTTGATTTTTTTTCTGTTTTTAAATATTTAAAAAAATATGATGTTTTTTATTACAGTAAAATGATTATATAATTTTGATATTATCTTTTTTTTCTATCCCATGACAAATACATGTATACATTATTTAAATATAAAATGATACAAAAAGATATAGTTAAATAAAAAAAATAATTAGTATTAAACTTTCTAAAACAAAAAATAAATAGAAATATATAAATTCAAAAATTTTAAACTTAAAAAGAAACAAAAGAAGTAAATAAATTAGTCTCTTAAACATGTTGATCACGATTTGATTTAGCATGTGAAAAGTTGTTTAATATTTTGAAATAATTTAAATAAAGTTGATATGACAGGTAAACAAACGGAAAAAGAAAACATAAAGCACGTGAAAAAAAAAAACAGAAAACTGCAAAATAAACGACACGAGATGCATAGATGTAGATGACACTGTCCGGATCAAAAGTAAACCACAACTATACTTACATTTTTTTTTTCCAAAATAATATTAAAAAAACATTAATTACGAAAATAAACTCTTCTCTATTTTATCTACCCAAGTAGACATGTTTACTATCACTATCAGGGACGGATAGAGAGGGGTGAGCATGCCCGGCCCGGTCCTTCCCCTTTTAAAATATTTTTATATATATTATATTTCATTTATATATTATAAAAAAATTTATATTAAAAATAGTAAAATAATATATATCAATATTTACTTCCTAGTTGGTAACTTCTGGTATAAGTTTATATATTATAATATAATAAAATTATTATATTATATAATATTGTAAATGAAAAAGTTAAATAAACTTATATAAGAAATTAACTTTTTGTTTTTAAGTTAACTCTTTGACTTATATAGCGAAACTAGTAAGCTAACAGAAATTGGTAGTGTTATATTTTTTATTTTTCATTTTCAATTTTCAATTTTCAATAATTTTTTTGTAAGTATGTTTGGTTTCACGTTTAAAGACTATAGATCCACATTTACTTGAATGATGAAGTTGTAACTTTTGTGTTGAATCTACTGCATAAAAATTTCAATATGTTTCCAAACACACTAAACTAATGTGTTATTCTCCCGTTTGAATTCTCAAAAGTTTCAAAACTACAAAAATGATAAAACAAAAGTACATCGTTACAGTAAGTTCTATTAAGTATTTTTCTTCATCAATTTAAAACTTTACTGCAAAAAACATTATCAACAATTTCTCCGAGTTATGTCAAGGATTGGTGAAAACAAGAAAATATTTGAATTATATTTTGATTGATCGTTTAATATGTTTGATATTAACTATTCTTGTTTCAAAGTTTGATACAAATTCTATTATTGATGAATTTTATGATATGAAATAAAGACGTGCACAACTTAAATAAAAGGTATGATATGTTTAACTTTTATTTAATATTTATTATCAAAGTTTACATTTTTTTTCCCCGTTTAAATTATTTCTGGATCCGTCCTTGTTTACTATTCAACTCGAGATTCGATTCTAAAAAAATCAAATTTCAAATGGGAATATACCATGTTTGAAGTTGAAATACAGATCAAAATCCGGTTTTTGGGACCAAATTATGAAATGCATTTTGATTTTTTTTTCATCAAGATATTTTTATATATATTTATATTTATATATATTTTTATATTTATAAATTTCAAATGGGAATATACCATGTTTGAAGTTGAAATACGATCAAAATCTGGTTTTTGGGACCAAATTATGAAATGCATTTTGATTTTTTTTTTCATCAAGATATTTTTATATATATTTATATTTATATATATTTTTATATTTATATCTGACATGCGATGTCATATCCATTGGCGGATCTCCTTAGGAGCTAAAAGAGGTTGTGACCCCCAAAGTTTTGTAACTCTTATGTAATTTATGATTTTGGCCCCCAAAACTGAATGAACATTTAATATATTTACTTGTATATTTATAATTTTATCCTCAGCTCCTCTTCAATTTTCTAACTCTAATATAATTTATGATTTTGTCTCCCTCAAACTTAATGATCATTTAATATATTTAAGTATATATTTACAATTTTATCCTTTCACCATTTCATCTTCTTTCTTCCTTTTATATTTATTAATTATTTATTAATAATATATTATTTGACCTCTCAAGATCAATGGTCAAGATCCAGTCACTGCATGTCCAAGATTGTTACAATAAGATATAACCTCCCATTATTTTTGTCCTAACATCGGTCGCTTGACACATTTTCCTATACAAAATAACTAAACATGCAAAACTCCAACTATATCACTTGGTTCTACATAAATTAGTCAAAAATTAAAAATACATAGGTGTACTTTGTTACCTACTTTGTCAAGCATCAAAACACCTTCAATTAACCCTAATATATATGTCCTAGCATGGACATGTAGTTGATCATCTAATGGTTCCTCTAGTAGTCGAGGGGAAACAACTGATGTTTAATTTTTCTTTTTAAAGAACACAAGGAGATACGTCACCCATAAGATGGAATATACCTCATTTCTGACCATCATGAATCCATACGAAATGCTTACTCAAGGGAGGACAGCGGTTGGACAAAAAACAATTTTATGCATGTGTACTGTATTCGACACATTGCTCAAAATTTCATGAGGAGATTAAAAAAAATCCACTTAAGAAGGATGTTGTCAATATGAGTAATTTCTGTTATTTTCTAAACTCATTATTTTTTTTATATTTTAATTAACTAATATACCTAATTTATTTCAATTATTTTGTAAACAACATATGGAATGACTAAGCCTATATTCTTCTACTATTACAATATTGTAAGAAATGAAGACCTGGAGTCAACAAAATAGTTGGATGAAATCTAAAGAGAGAAGTAAACACTAGTTTGGGACAACGGTTGACAATAAGGATATATGACCATCAACTTGGCAGAGTCAATCAATTTGATTTCAAAAAGACAAGGAATCTTCCTATTTTCTCCTTGGTGACAACAACATATATATATTACAATAAGTTATTCACTGAAAGAGGTAGAGAAGTGGCGACCATGACTTTGAATGATGGACATGCAAAGACAAATACTCATAGAGTGATTGAATTTGACTAGATGAGTACAAGATTTGTGGTAGAGGAAACCGTCAATCCAAGATAATTCAAACCAATAATCTGATTTGTAATAAAACTAGACGAATCATGATGTGATTATGGTAAATTCCAAAAATTTCATTTACCATGTTCGCATGTAATAACTGCTTGCAAACACACATACCATGATTTTACCACATGCATAAATCTTGTTTATACTTTAGTATAAGTCGGCAAGGTCTATAACGAACTGATCTGAGAATTAAGAAATGAAGATTATTGATCATCTTACACGGATCAATTTTGAGCTCAAATTCATAAATAAAGAGAACTACAAAAGGTCATCGAAAGTCAAAACGAATAAGAACAAAAATTAATATCACCGAAAGTCAATACCTTATTATTAGTATTACTTTTTCTGACAGTCACCAGAGCAGAGAGCTTGAGGGTAGTGGAGTTCTCAGAGATGACATCACCCTCGTTGATAGCTACCATTGTTGCTGAACTTTGCTTCCCCTTCTTCCTCACTCTGAGTTTCACTATAGATCCAAATCTATGTTCTTGAATGGAATGCCTGAGACTACCACCTTGGCAATGTTTCAAATTCAATTTGCTGTGCAACATGATGCCATTGGCAGCAATATTTGTGACCATCACAGTCTTCGTTCCAGCCATTTTTCCCTCTCCTTCCTCGCTATCCTATCCAACAACTTTTAATAACAATGATCTTTATAAAAGAAAACAAAATAACACTCAGTTGAAAGAAAAAAAATATATATATATATATATTTCAACGCGATTCCCAAAGAGAAACACACCTTCATGCTATTTTAATTCAAAACCTTATATTATGCATCATATTTTATAATATTACATTATAGATCTTATTATAGATCATATTTTATAATATATTATTCAATTTTTTTATTTTTATTTTTATAATGTGAGATTTACAATCATACATTATGAGTCATACTTATTTGCACGTTGTTGTTTTAATTTTCTCATGTTGTTGTTTCAATTTTTTTATCAATTTTTTTATTATTAGTCAAAGTGAGACTTATAATTATACTTCAATTACCCAGTATGCAACTTATAATACATTATAAATTATGACGAGAAATTCAACAAAATAATTTATTTTATAATTTATTTTTAAGCTAATTATAAATTATTATTTAAAAATATTAAATTAAAAGATAAATAATAAATTTATAACTCTTGTTTTTAGAGTAAATAAATTATATTATTAAAAAATAAATATAATTTTAAAAAATACAAAAGGTCTTATAACTATTTAAAAGAATGTTTAGTTAATTTTATTTATGATTATATTTTTAAAAATATTATTAAGTTTGTATGATTTATAAAATAATAGTTATTTTTTTAAAATATTATATTAATTTTTATGAGATAAGAGACACCTTATATCTAAACAAATAAGATAAAAAAAATTAACATATAAGTTAGTCTTTAATTTATGATGACTTACTATTGTTAGATATTGTTTAGATATTATTTAATATTGTTAAGATATTATTAGATATTAACCATAATATCAAACAATATCTTCTGTTTATTCTGTTACTTTCAATTACTCTTTTAGTTGTATCTCTCTACTACAAATAGACTACCCTATGTGTGATTTATACACAAGGGAGATTAATCTCAAACTCTATTTCTTCTATATTCAACATGGTATCTAGAGCTTAAGGTTATTTTGAATTTTTTTTTCGCCTTTGACCACTATTGAAGTCGCCACCACCGCCGCTATCGCTGTCGGTTATTTGGTAGTGTGAAAGTGCATGTCTAGGAAAGTTCTGACAAGGAAAGACTTGGTATTTAAGCGTGTCCATTAGTGACCCACCTCTCTTTCCTGGGAACTTACCTGGTGTACTGGTTCACGCCGCTGTCACTATCGGCTCCGCCCTTTATGAGTTCTTCCGCTCCTTTTAGTACTTCCAATTCTGTCAGTACTGCGTCTGATCCTTCCATCTACACTAACTATGTTAATGTGCACTTATCCATTGACAAGTTAATTGGCCCTAATTATGCCACATGGTCATCAGACGTCAGATTATGGCTTAAGAGTCAGAAGTATATTGATCATCTTGCCCCGAAAGCACCTACTCTCACTCCTGGTGAGGAAGACCGTTGGGACACCATTGATGCTCAATTATGCGTGGTTCTCAAGGGTACTCTTGATCCTTCGTTAAAACAAATTTTTCGTTCCTACGAAATATGTGCCAAAATCTGGGAACATGCCAAGTTATTATATACCAATGATACTCAACGTCTCTATGATGTCTGTTCTAAATTTGTAGATGTTATTGCCTCTAAACATCAAGATTCTATGACTGATTATATGGGCAAAATTCATGCTCTTTTTCATGAGTTCAATGAGTTATTGCCTCCTTTCCCCGACCCTGCCACCGAGATAGGACAACGATCAAGTTCTTCATGCTAGGGGCATTACACGGACTTGCTGATTAATATTCACATATTCGTGATCAGATTTTGGGTTCTCCGGTTGTCCCCACCTTGACATCGACCTGCTCCACTCTTTTGCGTATACCAGCAAAACTCAACCCTGACACACCTGCTTCTGTTAATGATTCTTCTGCATTAGTATCTCACCGTGATGATCGAACTCGCCCTCACAAACAGGAAAAAGGGCGTCCTAAGTGTGAACATTGTGGCAAGCTAGGTCACAAGATTGACCAGTGTTATGCATTACATGAGTGTGAACATTGTGGCAAACTAGGTCACAAGATTGACAAGTGTTATGCATTACATGGTCGTCCTACTCGATCTACTGCAGTTGCTCAGACTGATTTTTCCCACCTTTATCTGCTGAGGATCCTCCTTCTTCTATTTCATCAGACACACCTGCTATGTTTAACAAATTTCTCAAATGGTATAAGGATCAACAGTCTTCTAGTTCCACTGTGTCTGTCGCTCACATAGGTACATCTTTTGTTGGTCTGACCCAATCTTCTTCTGGTCCTTGGGTTTTTGATTCAGGAGCCACTGATCATATTACTGGTAACAAATCTTTGTTCTCCTCTTTATCCTCTCCTGATCCTTTACCTTTTGTTACACTAGCTGATGACTCTAGAGTATCATCCATGGTGTTGGAACTGTTAAATTTTTCCCTTCTTTAACCATTGATAATGTTCTTTATGTCCCTGGGTCTCTTTTTAACCTGTTATCCATCAGTCGTCTAACTCGTTCTCTTGATTGTGTTGTTTCTTTTACCAACAATTCTGTGTGTTTACAGGACCGGAGTTCGAAACAGGTGATTGGCACAGGATGTGAGTCTCATGGTCTTTATCATCTTCGTCCCTTTACACATGTTGGTGCAGTTATAGAGTCTCCCTCTCTTCTCCATGCTCAGTTAGGTCATCCAAGTCTTGCCAAGTTACAGCAACTTGTCCCTGCCTTATCTAAATTGTCTAGTTTGGCATGTGAGTCGTGTCAATTAGGCAAACATAGTCGTACTTCCTTTCCTCGTAGTGTCACACGTGGTGCTTCGTCCCCTTTTGTCGTGGTTCACTCTGACATTTGGGGACCTAGCCGCGTTAAGTCTACTTTAGGTTTTCAATACTTTGTTACTTTAATTGATGATTATTCTAGATGCACTTGGTTATTTTTGATGAAAAATCGTTCTGAATTATTTCATATCTTTCAAACTTTTTTCAATGAAATTCAAACTCAGTTCGGTGTTTCTATTAGAGTTTTGCGCAGTGATGATGGTCGTGAATATCTTTCTCATTCTTTTAAACAATTCATGGCTTCTCATGGTATTTTGCATCAAACTTCTTGTGCTTATACACCTCAACAAAATGGTGTAGCTGAACGTAAAAATAGACATCTTATTGAAACAACTCGCACTCTTTTAATTCATGGAGAGGTTCCTCAGCATTTTTGGGGTAATGCTCTTCTTACTGCATGTTATCTTGTTAATCGCATGTCATCTTCGGTTTTAGATAATAAAATACCTCATTCCATTTTATTCCCTCATGAACCACTTCATCCCTTACCTCTAAAAGTTTTCGGGTCTACATGTTTTGTTCATAATTTTAGTTCTAGTCTTGACAAGCTTTCTCCTAGATCACATAAATGTGTTTTCTTAGGGTTTACAAGATCACAAAAAGGATAAAAATGTTTTTCTCCTTCTCTTAACCGTTATTTTGTGTCTGCAGATGTCACCTTTGATGAGTTCTCTTTTTATTTTAAAAGTCAATCTTCACCTCTGTCTCCATCCAATATTGTCAACACTCCTAGTACATTTAATGTTCCTATTGTTTGTGACCCTCTAACTGTGTCTTCTTCACCATTAGATTCTACTCCGCAGTCAGCTTCTTCTTCATTATCTCTTCAGGTTTATAGTTGCCGAAACCAATCACAACCACCACCATGTGACTCTACTCAAGTGTCAACTACTCTGTCTCCTCCGGATGTGACACCTGAGTCTGACCTTCCCATTGCCCTCCGAAAAGGTATCTGTTCTACACATAATCCCTCTCCTCATTATATTGGTTTGAGTTATCATCGACTGTCATTAGCTTTTTATACATGTCTTTCCTCTCTTTCTTCTGTGACCATTCCAAAAACTGTCCGTGAAACTTTAGCCCATCCTGGTTGGCGTCAGGCCATGTTAGATGAACTAAGTACTCTTCATAATAGTGGAACTTGGAAATTGGTCTCGTTACTGTCTGGGAAATCTGTTGTTGGTTGCAGGTGGGTGTTTGCTATCAAAGTTGGACCTGATGGTACTATTAATCTCCTCAAAGCACGTCTTGTGGCCAAAGGTTATACTCAAATTTTTGGGTTGGATTATGGAGATACCTTTTCCCCTGTGGCAAAGATGACTTCTGTTCGTTTATTTATCGCCATGGCCGCTCTTCAACAATGGCCTCTTTATCAACTAGATGTTAAAAATGCTTTCCTCAATGGTGATTTGCAAGAAGAAATCTATATGGAGCAACCTCCTGGGTTTGTTGCTCAGGGGGAGTCTTCTGGGATGGTATGTCGTCTTCGCAAATCCCTATATGGCCTAAAACAGTCTCCTAGGGCCTGGTTTGGAAAGTTTAGCAAGGTTGTTCAACAATTTGGTATGACTCGGTGTGAAGCAGATCACTCAGTCTTTTATCGACACTCAAGTGCTTGGATGTGTTTACTTGATAGTATATGTTGATGACATCGTTCTTACAGGTAGTGACAACCATGACATCTCTCGGTTGAAACAACATCTCTGTCACCATTTTCGGACCAAAGATCTTGGCAAACTTAGATATTTCTTGGGTATTGAGGTGGCACAGTCCAATGATGGTATTGTTATATCTCGGAGGAAGTATGCCATGGATATTTTAGAGGAAACTGGGTTGATGAATTCAAAGTCTCGTTGATACGTCCATGGATCCCAATACTAAACTTTTACCAAATCGGGGGAGCTTATACCTGATCCTGAACAGTATAGAAGATTGGTTGGAAAATTGAATTATCTTACGATTACTCGTCCCGACATTTCCTTTGCGATCGGTGTGGTAAGCCAATTTCTTAATTCCCCATGTGAAGATCATTGGAATGCAGTCATTCGTATCTTAAAGTATATTAAAGGATCTCCTGGAAAAGGATTGTTATATGATTCTAATAACCATACAAGAGTTGTT